AAGACCAGCCTGAAGTACACAGCAACACTGCTTCAAAAAAAAAAAAGAAAAAAGAAAAGAAAAAATGCCAAGTGCAGAATAGGATGGAATCTCATTTGCAGCCATCTAGCTTTTTTTTTTCAGGATTATATTTATTTAAAGGCAGAAGGGTTTGGGTTTTGTTTTGTTTTGTTTTGTTTTGTTTTGTTTTGCTCCGAATGCCTTCAGGGCAGGTTTGGCTGGCTTGAGTTGTGGGGATCAAACCACAGCAACCTGAGCCTGACTGCTTTGTTGAAGCAGCCACTAAAAGAACTGAGCTAAAGGGCAGGTCCCCCATCTAGCTTTTATTTTCAATAAACTTGTCTATAACTAATGTTAAAATCATAAACTTTTATCTAATGGACACCTTGTATAAGTGGTAGTTTTCAAATCATTAAAACAATTTAAGCTGCTTAGGGTTTAACAAAACAAAGTTTCAATAAAATATTACAAGCTAGTTCAGTTTTTTCAAACAGTGGGATGAAACCATCATTTTATAAAAGAAAAAGCAATCAAAGAAATTAAGAATAATTTTGTGAAAATTTCTGATTCAGTTATATGTAACAATCTATACTTTGGGGGTCATTAGTACTTTTTGTGGATTACAGTCAAAAAAAGGTACAGCCATTGGACTGTTTTGAAGTAAACTAAAGAACAAATTTTATCAATCAAAAACTTCAGTTTATAGGTTATAAATAAATACTGCCTTCTATTGTCAAGTATCAAACTACTCATTAGAATCTGGAAATATAGCCCAGTGATAGAGCACTTGTCTGAGATGTACAAGGCCCAGGGTTTAATATCTAACAACTGGGGGGAGGGGGACCTTGGTTCATCCCTATAATCAAGCTACTCAGGTAGGAAGATCACAAGTTTGAGGTTAAGCCAGGCAATTTAGTAGGACTTTATCTCAAAATAAAAAGTATAAAATAAAAAGGGCTAAGATATAGTTCAGTGATAGACCATTCCTGGGTACGGATAAACAAAATAAAACCAACAAATACTCCAAACAAACAAAACACATCTGCTCATAAAAAGCAAAGACTGGCATGGCACAAGGTGGCATGTGCCTGACATCTCAGCATTCTGGAAGGCTGAAGTAGGATAGTTACAAGTTTGAACCTAGCCTGGGCAACTTAATGATTTAGTGACATCCTGTCTCAAAATTTAAAAATCACTAGGTATAGCTCAATGTAAAAGCTTTAGATTCAATCAATAGTACAAAAGAAGAGAAAAAAATAAAGAAAAAAGAAAAGAAAGAAAACCCTGGGGACTGGGAATGTAGTACAGGTGAAGGAAGGCCCTGGGTTTGAATCCTAATACAAAAAAAAAAAAAAAAAGACTCAATTGGCCCAGATATCAAGTCATGTATACATCTGCAATATCAGCACCTGGGAGACTGAGGCAGGAGGATCCTAGCAAATCTGAAGCTAGCCTGGACTATATAGTAAGACCTTATTTGTTTTTAAAAAGTAAGAGACTGCCCAAGACACCCATAACAAAGTACTAAATTGGCATTAATAGTATATGAGCTAAATTACACCACATTGTTCTATGTTAATAAATCACTATGAGGTTTTTGGGCACATGATATAGGCAAGCAAACATCTGAATAAGAGCAAAACAACAAAAACTCCATATTGTTTTGACATTTACTTCATATTCTATATTTCTATATGTTATTCCCTAATTTTGTTTTACTTTCAAGTTGAAAGAGGAAAATTAAGCCTAAAATTATCTATTATTTCAGTGCATGAAAAATCCTTTAATAAATA